CGTTCGAGCTTCGGGTTGCCACCCCTCGAAGTCGCTTTGACTTGCCCTAGAGTCGGAGGTGTAGTTGGTCGAGGCAAAGTCATTGGTTGAAGCCTTTGGTTGCCACCACCGAAGGCCGATTGTCGAGTTGCTGGAAGAGAGGAAGTTCCTGCTTGAGATTTTATTACGACGTTACTCGGGCAACGACGGGCTGCATCTGACTCACGTCACCGATATGACTTTGTTTTCGATCCTTCATTACCTGAAAGCCTACTTGAGATCTTTTTTTCCACCAATCCAGATAGCTCTTCTGTCCCACAGCATGCCCTGAAAGATTCAGATTTGAATCATCTGTTTTCGATGTTTGCCAGTTTTTCTACCGAAGAAGTCGATTTTCCCCCTTTCAACACAGCGCATCGTGCATTCGAATAGCCACCTAAATGCAGTTTTTATGGGCTTTCTCCTGGTGTCCTTGGATGTGTATTTCCGTCAAAGCTCAAGGAGAAGTCAGCACCTTCTTCGAAGGTGATCGATAAAAGAGGGAAAATCGACTTCTTCGGTAGAAAAACTGGCAAACATCGAAAACAGATGATTCAAATCTGAATCTTTCAGGCCATGATGTGGGACAGAAGAGCTATCTGGATTGGTGGAAAAAAGATCTCAAGTAGGCTTTCAGGTAATGAAGGATCGAAAACGATGTGGAACAAAAATCGAAGAAAATTTGTTTCTCGTAGGGATGGTTGAAAAAAAGCGGAGGGGGGTGTATATCGAATTTTTATGAGATCTATGGGTTTCTATGGGATTTCGAGAAGTCAATCGAGTTTGCAACGGAAGAAGCTATTTTCTCAAGCCTGTTATGTATCGGTAGAATGGGCTTTGTATCATTGCTGGAGAATACTGAAGAATTCTGTTGTTTTTTATTGAAAATTTGGAAAAGAAAACAATACAGCAGCAATGACAAAAAAGAAGTTGAACAACATCGTCGGTGCTGAGCTAGATTGCTCTTCTCCGTTAAGGATGCGTTTCAAAGCGGCTATTGTCTCAGGCCCGTTACATTTGTCAATATTGCAGAGGAAGTGGAGATGCTCCCTATTGTATTGTGTCGAGCCTGAAAGAGCGCGTGTGGTTTGATAAAGTACTTCGGCATATGAACTACCCTCGCCTTCCATACATTCCCACGTTGGCTGGCGTAAAACAACACTCTGTTGGTGAGCTTTTCCACCGGCAGAGCTGTAGCTACACATCCCATCTTCACAATCGGTACGCTCATTCGAACCTGTGTAACATTGTCTGACATTCGGTGAGCCAGTGTAGATAAGGTTCGCAACTTTATTATGGGTTGCAGTGGCGCCAATGCTTTTTCGGATACTATCCAAGTTGGCTTCCATGTATTTCTTGGCGCAGTCATCCTGACCTGTCGCCCAAATGTAATCCCAACCAAACGTTGGACCCAGGTCATTCAATCCTATTTTATGCACTGACGTTCGTCCCGCAAACTCCGGTACTAAATTGTAGTTGAAATCCTCGATACCCGTAAAAACGCCGTCTGTGCTCAACCTAATAGCTTTTTCAACTTAGGATGCCATTCAACATGCAATGCGCAGTAATTTACTACTGTAGTAAGTTCTTCGCACTCGCCACGCGATGACAAAGGCTCGTCGTAATTCAAACTAACTACACAGGGTTTTGTACACCTTTGGGACCGAACGCTCCTTGTTCCATTGCTATGTGACTGAATTTCGATCCCGTTTACTAAATTCCGGCTCTCCATTACAACAAGAAGAAGAGCAATAGCGCATAGTGATAAAAATTCCATGATCAATGGTGTAGTAAGTGTGCGACAACATACCTTTTTATACTACAAGTCAACGAAGCTTATCATTATATTTCTTTCTCTGAAGACTCCATGAGATAAGAAATGATAATAGTTATATTTCTCTTTTCGCCGAAAACACCCTGGCTAAATAAATACAGCTGACTATTAATGTTCACATGTTTCCAACTTTTAACATTTTCTTATTCATAAAACATGAAAAGCATGCTATGATCTTAGCGAGAATCCGGATCAATTCCTCCGCAGTTCTGTGGAAGATCCTGTCAGGAATCGACCTTTTTCCCCGAGGAATGACTGAATCCTGGAAGAAACGTGTCATTGAGAAATTTTCAGGATCCTGACAGGTTTGACAACAGGATTTTTCAATGATCCTGTACCGTTTCCACAAGGATTTATGCAGGACTCTTCCAAGATTAGCTATTATTCGGTCAAAAATCTTGAGGGCGTGGCTAAGAGTGTGAGGGTGAGTTTATATAGGAAACAGGGCTCCGAGTGGGATGGGACGATCCCATCCCATCAGAATGTATCTCATGGGACGTTTTCCAAAAACAAATTGTCACATGGGATGGGATGGGACTGAACATTTTTGTGTGGGATCCCATGGGACGAAAGTCTGGTCCCATGAGACATTCGTTACTTTTTTCATTCAAACACCGCGTTCGACATAGATAGAGTCATTCAACACTAGCAGAAGTATCACCTAATCAACATCTCGCTCTGCACTGTAGGTGGCTGAGAATTTTTAGCGATTAGCTTGTGAATAAACATATAATAACCAAAAAGAAAAAAAAGCCGAAAACACTGTTCGATCACCCGTAAATTTCGTAAGGTGATTTGTCTTCATTACATGAACAACAAAATGCCGTCTCTGTTTTCTTCTGCTGGCTCTTTGTTTTCGAATATTCTACCTTCGTTTATTGTTCTGTCTCATTCTGATTAAGAATGTGTTTCATGCGTTTCTGTCGTTACTGTTTTATTTTCCTCTAGTTTTTCTGTACTCACAGCAGTACCCTCTTTTGTTAGTTTGCTGTGCTTCTCTTTCCTAAAAAAATGATTGTTTGTAAAAACTGAGAAAGAAGCGTGTTTTTCATTTGTAAATTTAAAAAGTTGTAAGTTTAACTGTGAAATATATGCCGAAACAAGATATGTAAAATAGACTTCGTCGAATATATAAATGAATGTATGACGTGTACTTTATAAAAAAGAGCTTGTCGAATGGGACATCCCATGGACGTCCCATCCCATGTGGGGCAGAAAATTTCTGAAAGTCATCCCATGGGATGGGATGATCAGAGCCAACCAGTCCCATGGAATCATTTTCTTCATCGCATCCCGTCCCACGCGGAGCCCCGATAGGAAACATAGAATCCAAGCTACTTAAGGCACGGTTCGAACCTTGCTGAAGGGTTCATCGTCAGGTAAATTCGGCATCAGTTACTGCATATCGATTCATTATATCATAAAAGTCTATAATATTCAAAAAAGACTTCCAACAACCTTCAACATATATAATCATCAATCATCTCAAGATATTTGAAGATAAGGATCTGTGTCAAAAATGCATAGCGCAAGTACCCAAAGAAGATCGACTTGTGCTCATTGTCACTGACCAATTGAGTGGAGACGTGGTGCCTCATATTCATCACTTCCGACAAGTCTCATCGATCTACATCTATTGCATAGACGGGAAAAAAGACGAAGAATAGGTCAAGCAGTTTCCAAAGGTAGAAAATGTTGTGGTTCTCTATCTTACTGACACTGTCTTTGCAGGTGAAGGTTGTCAGCGATCGAATCGACGATCTTATTTCTCGAATTGAATCGGATCAGAAAAGTCGGACAAAAGTAGAAGAGCCATTGTTGATTAACATTTTCATCGTTTTCACAGCAGCAGTGCTATAGATCAAATGGCGATCGAGCTCAACAGTCAATTCGTTTATTTTCAACTCCTCATAGACTGTCTTCTTCAAATGCAATCCAATGAGGCTCATAAAAATGAACTCATTTCTCTCTGCAGAGAAAAATATAAAGGCAACACCAATCAACTCGCCATTCTTGACGAATTTGCACAGCAATATTTGGGTGACAGAGTCTTATGGTGGTATACTCGTGAGTCGTTCTTATATAATATGTCAAACAAAGCTCTACGTATGCTAAACATCGATGTACTCTTAGTTTTTCGTTTCTTTATTCGTGACATATATCAGCAATTAAAAGACGATCAATGTAAATCTCGGATTCGAGTGTACCGAGATCAATTGATGTTGATTGGTGAGCTGAATAATCTCAAGAAATCCATCAATGAATTGATCTCCATGAACACGTTTCTCTCCGCCAGTATCGATCGCCAACATGTTCTCACGGATTTGAGCAATATCAATCCAGCGGATGATTTGCAGCGAGTGTTGTTCGAGATCAATGCTGATCCTCGCGTAGTCACCACTAAACCATTTGCCAAAATTACTCCACACGGTGCTGTCGGCACTGAGGCAGAAGTTTTCTTCATGCTTGGTTCTATTATTCGTCTTACCAGCATTCGCCGTGATGAAGATCAAATATGTATTATTCAAATGGTTTTGTGCGGCGGTGACGAACACGGTTTGAAGCAGTTATTTGAGCAACATGAAAAATAACTATGGCATCGAAGAAGCCAACTTGCTTACCTTAGGTCACACGTGGACTGGAACGACTAAAATCGATAATGGAAAGAAAAACTCTTTTTCTTTACTTAACGAAGTTCCTTCAGGTGATACTTGCCCATCCGACAATGTCGACATCGGTGGAATATTATGCCCATTACATCGTAGATGATCGTTTGGTGAATTTGTAAATGATGACCATAGAATCGATGTTAATGTTATGCTCGATTGTACACGATCACTGTGCGTCCATACTGGTACTTCCGATTGGCTCACTCTTTAAGATTGTGGAAAAATTAGGATGAACTAACAAGAACATTGAAGATGAGAATCTAACCAGCTTAGGTAGTCGTTCGTTCGTCTTTTTGATGAAGAAGTAAAAATCAATGAAAAAGGTTCTCATGTGGTGACACGGTCCTCTCAAAATTGTAAGAGAGACGGTTGATCTCAAGGGCAAGAATTCAAACGATTCGTACTTTCAAACATTGCCTGAACCCGTGGCTGTATCCTTTCAAGTTTCTGTTACCAGTTATTGTTTTCGATGAAATTGGTCTTGCTGAATTGTCTCCACACAATCCACTTGAAGTACTTCATGCTGAATTTCAAATTGAAAATTGTCAATATGGATTCGTCGGTATATCGAATTGGCGAGTTGATGCCTCGAAAATGAATCGTGCACTCTATCTATTAACACCGGATCCCGATGTGAAAGATTTGTAGGTATGACCATTTATCAAAGTATGCAACAACAAATAGATGATCGAGCAGTTCAACTTGAAGATATTATTATTGAAAGCCTTTCTCAAGCTTACTATGATCTGCGTGAGAACTTAAATGAAACTGAATATGAAAACTATTTTGGTCTACGAGACTACTATTGTCTTATCAAAGGTATCGTTCGTGAATTGATCACAACGAAAGATGAAGTAAACATGCATGAAATTATTCGTAGACAACTTAAAGTTAATTTCGATGGTATTCGTGATGGTTCATCGCTCTTGTGACAAAATTTCTGTCAATAGACTCAAGAGCTGATCGATGCTTCTAACCAAGTTTATTGAGCTCAAGAAACATGTAGAGCACACTTGCTGTTAGTTCAACTTCTTACCTAAAAGAAGTTTAGTTGGATGACGCATTCTGAAAAGCGTTACTTTATTCCGTAAAATAATGACACGGTAAAGAAAAGTTGCCACCCGCCATAGTACAGACACATTTTATAATGATGATACATCATCATTGGCATAAATAATCGTTGCATCCGATTGATCATGTTCAGATTTGTATCGATCGAATAGACGTGTTAGAGCATTCATATATTGTTTATGATATTGGTCGACAATATCGGGCGTTATTTGATTACGTTCTAATTTCGGTAATTGAATCGGTTCACCGACATATGTATAGATACGATGTCGATTGGGTAGAAAACCGATTGCATATTGAAATACGCCACGTCCACTAAACAATGGCAATGAAAAACCCATTTTATTCTGTAACAACATTTGCCACGTGGATTCGGCACTTGTTCATAGAGATCATTTTCACCAAATGAAAATACGGGCCCTATTCACGCGCCATTAACTAGACCGATTTTAACGAAGCCTTTTCGATTTTTAAGTGTCAATATATATTGATGTGATGGTCGAGCATCTAACGCTTCTTTGGCACCACCGAGTACTAACATCAGACTATTGCCATGACCGTGTTCTAAAATATAATTACACGATTTTTTCGATGCATCACATACACCCATCAATGATATATAATTCGTAGAATGGTATACGAAAATTCGATGTCAATGTGAGTAAACGTAGATTAATACCAGGAAATTCATGTTCGAAATCGGTCGCCTCTGTAGCAAAATTACAGAAGGCACCAAGGGAAATGATACCGTGTGGATGATAGCCGAATATGTACGAACGGTCAGGTGACAAATCGCATGTTTTATGTAAATGAATTGGAAAATATTCTAGAATAAACAAATAGAATAGAAAGAAACTTTTATTCGATATTGTTCTCGACAGACACATTTCGTTTCGTCTGCACAATAACACAACGATGAACCATACTGTAGTTTTTCTAGTCTCGACCATCGAACACAGTCGTGATTAAAATTGTACTCACAAAATTCATTGTCTTTTTTCCTAGTTCTCAGAACCTTCGATCGGGGCAAGGATGCAAATCAACGCGTTATCCAGTTGTAGATTTTCATTATGATTTGATAGGATAAAGAACAATTGCTCTACAAGAGATCGCATCATGTTCCTTCGTTTCATCCTCCTTTATAAAATGAAAAGTGTCTCGGCTCTGAACGTTGATTCGTTATGAAAATACAGTTGGTGTACAAACAGCCACCAAAAT